CGCAGGCCCTGGCGAAAGAAGATGACAGCGGGAGGGAAATGAAGAGAAAAACAAGGCAGGCAAGAGGAATAAGATAAATGAATACGATGAGGAAGAATCAAGGGCACGGAAGACATTCGAAATTCGCTGGCCACGCGGCATTCACACGAACGCCCGAGCCACATGATCGATTGACGTGCGCATATCAGAAAAAAAGAAAAACAAAAATGAAAAACGAAGACGCAAATCCACGCTGAATTCACTCTTAGCACCGGCGAAACCAAAACGCGGGCCTGCGCGGTGGCACGCGCAGGTCCAGGCGGGCGTCGCAATGCGCCGCCATGCCCGCTGCTGGCGCGGAGCCGGACGCGCTGACCAGCGACTGCGCATCTTGGCGAGGCGCCCCGGGGGGCAGGGGTCGGTCGGGGAGATTGCGCGCGGCCCTGCTGTGGAGCGGTCTCCTCTGGCGCGCTCCTGTCCGCTGCCGCGCGGGCCGACGCCGCGGGCGCCGGGCCCGCCGGCGCTCGATCTACGCCGTTAAATTGGACATCGGCGATCATTTCGGCCGGACCGCGGCGCAGAGCAGTGGGCAATGCGGGCGTCGGTGTTCTGCCTCAGCTGTAGACGGCATGCCTGGCGCAAGATGCGAAGGCGCCGCAGGCGCGCCTCCCTCTCGCCATGCTGAAAGGCCTCGAGGCAGATGGGGCGCGCCCAATCGTCGCTGGTGAAAACAGCAACTGAAGGAGGTTCGACAGGTGGAGCGGCCGGCACAGGAGGAGGATTGGCAAGGGTGTTTGTCAAATTCTGCGCGGCCATGCCGTCGGTGTTCGTCCTGCTGCCATATGAGAGCTAGCTGTGCGCTGTGGAGCTTGTCGAGATGTCGTCATTGCGCCAGATCGAGGGCGGCGTCCACGCGACGCGACTACCGGCGCGGACTGCGACGGCCGCATGGAGCTCGACCCACGTGGAGCGCTGCAGCCGAGGGCTGAAACTGAAGGCGCGCTGCCCAGCTCGGCATTTGCACGTCAGCTGGCGGGGCCGGAAGCGCGGCGACTCGCCCGCTGAAGTCGCCTACCCAGTGGCGCCCCCGAGCTTGCCGCGGCGGGGGCGCGCCGCCCACTCGCGTCCACCGTTGTGGTGCTGGTTGTGGTGGTGCTGTTGAAGCTGCTGACGCTGTTGGTCCTGCCGGTGCGGCTGTTGCTCCTGGGGATGCTGAAGCTGGCGCCAGTTCCCCCGCTGCTGCCGGCGGGCCGTTGGCGCGGTCGCGTGGCCCGCCAGCTGCGCGGGGCCTTGCGCGCGGCTCGTCAGTCCTGCCATCTCCTGTCGCGGTCGACGCAGCTCGGCGCCGCGAGGGTTGGGGGGCGAAGAAGAGGATGATGTACCATCCCAAGTCGACCAATTGCCGTGGCCGACTTGTTGCCAAGAGCCAGTCTGGCGAAGCGCTTGGAGCGGCCGTCGCTGCCGGCCGCGGCGCTGCTGCTGCTGCTGCTGCCGCGCGCTGCTGCTGGAATCGGCCGTCCGCCGCTCCAGGGGTCAGCGCTCTGCGCGGGGTCGCCTTCCGCGGTGCCTGGGGCCGCGGGCTTCATTGATCCGGGGCGCCCCTGGTCGCCCGCGCCTCGCGCGCCCCTGGCGCGGGCTCTGCTCAGATGGGCCAGGGCGCCCCGGCTGTCCGGGAAGCGCAAGCGGCGAAGGCGCCGGCGGCGGCGGCGCTGGGGCGCAGGAAGAGGGCGCGCCCGTGGCCACGGCGCCGGGGACAGTCGCGCACGAGGTGCTCCGAGTCGCACTCGCGGCAGTTGAGGCGCGCCCCGCCAGGGCCCACTGAGTTGCCACGGCGGCCCGAACCCACGCGGCTGGTCTAGAACTTCCCTGCTTCTGCCTTTGCCCCCCCCGAAGCCCGCGAAAACTTCCCTTTCGTTGTCTCTGGAAAGGTTGGCCCGGAAGGCGCGGTGGCCTCTGCCTTGGCCCTCGCCCGTTCCTCCGATGGCCCCCCGGGCGTGGCGCGCGGGCCTGCGGCCGTTGAAGCTGCGCCGTCGCGCTTTGGCGAGCTCGCGAGCCCGGCGGACGCCCGCTCCGCGCAGCCCCGCGCGAGCGCCCCGTTGCTCGGGATCGCCTGCGGCAATTTCCTCGCCGAAATGGCAGACGGTGTCAGCGTCGGTGCCTGAGTCGACGCCCGCTGCTGGCAGCGCCCCCAGCGCTGGCGACCCCGTGCCGGCGCGGGCGGCGGCTGCGCGCGCAAGTGGACCCGGCTCGCGCTATAGGGAAGGTGCGCCGTTGGGCAGAGTGGGCCGCCGAGGCGGCGAGGTTGCCTGGCGGCCCCTCGACCACGCGCCCAAATCGCCGCGGCTGGCACGCCATGCGCGCGAGCTGCTGGGCGTTCGCGGGGTCGGCCAAGTGGCAGCGCTGCACGATCATGGCCAGTTTGATGTTCGACGCGCCAGCGGCGCGCAGCAAAGAGAAGCCGCGGCACTCGTGGCCGATCGGGAGTCGACCAGCTTGCCGCGCGAAGGATGTCGAACCTAGTGGGGCGGCTCTCGACGCGCTCGTGCGGCAATCGGTTGAAGTCATCGGTGGCAGTGCGTCGTCGTTAATGAGTCTTCCCTGGGTCAGGACGGCCGGCGGCCAGTCGCCCGCGCGCCCGAGCGCCGTGCCGGCGAGGCGCGACGAGACGTAGGCCGCGTGGCGAAACTCGTTGAGGTCTGACTGCGTCACTGACTATATCATTATCTCCCGCACCCATTTCTGGAAGGGCATTCGAACTTGTTGCTCGGGCCCCCAGGCGCGGAGGTGTCGCCTGTTGCCGCTGCCTCCGCCTGCGCGTCCATTCGGGAGATGCAGCTGGTAATGGCAATCATGCCTACTCCAATGGCCTTCCATCCGAGGTGAAACTCCCTCCGCGTGGCGTAGAAGTGCTGGAGGCCAGGGATTCACCAGCGGCGCTGCTCGGGAAGTGTGCCTCCGAGCCGCCGTGGGCACTTGCACAGAATATGCTCCTCCTCGCCTGCGTGCTGGGCGTATGCTTCTGTCGCGCGGTTGCGGTGCTCTCGGTACCTGGAGCATCTCCTGACACTGTCAGCAGTATGCTCCTCGTATACGTGTCGTCTTGTCACTGTGCTAAACACCGCCAGCTGCACAATCGTCAAGAGGAGTGCGCATTGGGACCTGGTCCTGCTAGGCCACAGGGAATGAATGGACAAGGTGAAAAGGTCGTGTGCCCAGGAATGGAACGATGGTTCTCCAACTTCCGATTTGCCATCCCTCGGAGCGCTGCTGGCGACACAGTCGCCAGACCCTCCATTACCTCCCCGCCCTTCTCTGCCTCCTACTCCAAAGGCTCTCGTGACACAATTGCCAAAAGCTCTGGGCGCGCAACTGACACCGAGGATGTGAACGCTGCGTCGACCAACTGTCAGACGTTTGCGGCCACACCCACGGGCGGGTGCATTGACAGCGTAGGGTCCGCGAGCTGCGCTGACGCAGTCAGTGCGAGCCCGGGAGGGACCGCTGAGAGATCCAGCGCACGGCCGGGGTCCTTGTAGGTTTCACGGATGTACTGGTTGAGGTCGGTGTGCGCCTTTCGCGTGTCCGGTCCTGGCGGATGGGCGGGCGCCCCGACGGACTCGAGAATGACGACGTCTCCTGCCACGGCGAACGGAAAGAGGGCGATGAGAGCGAATATCAAGCGAGATGGCCAGCTGGATGTAGAGCGGCACGATGTTGAGCGGCGTGGAGTTGGAGGTTGTGCTGTCGAAACGAAGCGAGAGAACGAGAAACCATTGCGGCCGCGGCATTGGAGCAAAAGTTCCGTTACCAACTAGAAAGACATGGTTTGTGAGGAAAGAAAAGTGCTTTCCGTACGTGGATGTGAAAAGCGGAGCGGTCAAACGGATCTCAAAATTATCCCAGTGCGACCCTACCTAGGAGTTGGAACCTCTAGGAAAGCAACAGTAGTAGGAGCGGTTGACGCCGTCTTCCTTTTCTTCTCATCGTAGTAGCTGTAGCAGTAGCGGTACTAGTAGTAGTAGTAGTAGTAGTAGTAGTAGTAGTAGTAGTAGTAGTAGTAGTAGTAGTAGTAGTAGTAGTAGTAGTAGTAGTAGTAGTAGTCGTAGTAGTAGTAGTAGTAGTAGTAGTAGTAGTAGTAGTAGTAGTAGTAGTAGTAGTAGTAGTAGTAGTAGTAGTAGTAGTAGTAGTAGTAGTAGTAGTAGTAGTAGTAGTAGTAGTAGTAGTAGTAGTAGTAGTAGTAGTAGTAGTAGTGGTGGTAGTAGTAGTAGTAGTTGTAGTAGTAGTAGTAGTAGTAGTAGTAGTAGTAGTAGTAGTAGTAGTAGTAGTAATAGTAGTAGCGCCAGAACCGCCGACGCCATGCTATGCTCTGTTCTGCTATGCTCTGTCTGTTCTGCTCTGCTCTGCTCTGCTCTGCTCCGCTATGCTATGCTGCGCAATGCTATGCTGGGCTAGGCTAGGCTAGGCTGGGCTAGGCTAGGCTATGCTATACTATGCTGCGCTATGTTATGCTACGCTATGCAATGCTATGCTATACTATGCTATGCTTTTGCTTTGCCTTTGCTTTTGCCTTCACTTTTGCCTTTGCTTTTGCTTTTGCTTGGCACCGAGGGAGCGCAACTGGGGGAACCGCGCGTTTGCTTTTACCTTTGCTGTTGCTTTTGCTTGGCTCCCAGGGGACTGGAGGAACCGCCCGGGGCGGGTTGCACTGCCCGGCCCTTTAAGCCAAGCGAGTAAGAACCGTTCTAGGCAGAGCCTAGGTAGGGAACAAGTCTAACATCGGGCGCGTGGGGAATGTACCCTAGAGTCCAGACGGCGGATAATGCAAGAAAGCTGGCATAGGCAAGGCAGGGGGTGAACAGAGGCAGGAAGGATCCCGTTCGAGTAGTGGGGGGGTGAGGAGGAGGAGGAGGAGGAGGAGGAGGAGGAGGAGGAGGAGGAGGAGGAGGAGGAGGAGGAGGAGGAGGAGGAGAAGGCGGAGGAGGAGGGAACCCAGCAGCCTCAGGGGCGGGGGCGCCCCTCTCCTTCTTCACCAGCGACCGCACGGCGATGCCGCAGTGCTGGCCTCGGCTCCGGGGGCGAGCACGAAGAGGAACCCACATGCGCTTGGCCGCGCGGGTTCTCCTGGTCTTCCTCGTCTTGGACGCCCGAATTGTCTGGGATACCTCCAGTCTGGGGGAACTCCGGCTTGGGGCCCGACGTACGAACCAGGAGTTGCCCCTGACCACCCCAGCCTGATGATTCGGGAGCGGTGGGCGCCCGAGTTGTCCAGGATAACTCTGGTCCCGGGAACTCGGGTGTAGGCCCCTGGGGCACAAATCAGGAGCTACCCCTGACCACCCCAAGCCCTGCAGACTCGGGGCTCTGATCGTCTTCCTCTCCTCCACCTCCTCCTTCTCTTCGTGTCGAACGCCCGCCTGCACAGGAAGAGACGGGCTGCATGAACATTGATTCTCGCGCGATTAGACAAACTGTAAGAAAAACCATGCGCGCGGGCATCAGTTCTCGACGTCGGCGCTGCTCGTACATCGTAGATCGTAGGGGCGACATCGGGGAATGCAAGGGTTGCGGGCCTCCCCGCGGCCCGAGATCTGGTCGAAACCAGCGAATCTCCCCTGAAACGCCGACCACGACACCCCCAACATGGTCGAGAGCATCCACCGACATGTCGCCGAATCTTTTTCAAAGTGTTCATGTGCCTTCCGTGTTCTTCGACTGCCGCCAGCCTCTCGAGCCGCCCCCCCCCCTCTGGGCGGACAGGGCGCCCCTCTCTGAGATCGAGATCCAAGCATGCGACGTCCGGATTTTGCCAGCACGCGGCCCCGAAAGCCCCGAGCCTTTCCCCTGGCTGGTTTTTCATCCCGAGTCTTTTTGATGCCCGTCCCAGGGCCAAGGAAGGGCCACAATAGGCCGAACACTGCCGAGCAAGAAGCCGTCGTGTTTCTTTTACGACGCGATCATGTCTGGGGAGATATAGCCGTCTGTCTGGCGGCGATCTGTCAAACCCCAAGGCCTGCCTGCCACAGGCATGGTTGCCGAGGGTGCCGCTGGGCGCCCGTCGGGGGCGCGAAAGCTGTCCCTCTGGCCGGCCCCCCTGGGGGGCCAAAGGGAGGCACCTCCGATCGACTGGGAAGGGGGAGGGGACGGCCCAGGAGGGAGTTTTTTTTTCCCCCCAGCAGCGATCAAGCAGCACCCCACGTACACCCCAAGAGATGGGCAAGCCCTCCTGGGGGTGGCGCATCAGCATCAGCATCAGCATCAGCAGCATCAGCATCAGCATCAGCATCAGCATCAGCATCAGCACCAACACCAGCATCAGCATCAGCATCAGCATCAGCCGCAACATCAGCATCAGCATCAGCATCAACATCAGCAGCAGCATCATCATCATCAGCATCATCATCATCATCATCATCATCATCATCAGCATCATCATCATCAGCATCATCATCATCATCATCATCATCATCATCATCATCATCATCATCATCATCATCATCATCATCATCATCATCATCATCATCATCATCATCATCATCATCATCATCATCATCATCATCATCATCATCATCATCATCATCATCATCATCATCATCATCATCATCATCATCATCATCATCATCATCATCATCATCATCATCATCATCATCATCATCATCATCATCATCATCATCGTGTTTCTCCTCCTCCCTATCCTCCTCCTCCTCCTCCTCCTCCTCCTTCTCCTCCTCCTCCTCCTCCTCCTCCTCCTCCTCCTCCTCCTCCTTCCCCCCTCCGCCCCCTTCGAGGGCCTCCGCTCGCAGGACTGGTTCCTGAGCTCGTCGTGTCCCCGCCAGCCACAAGCCGTTCACAGCGTCGACCCCCGACACATTCCCCGGGGGCCGGCGTTTCGTCCCGCGCCCTTTTGCTGGCGGCCCCGAGGCCCGGCAGGGGCCCCCAGGAACTGGAAACAGCGAAGCGCCGCCCGTCCTGTTGCCCTCACGACGCGAGGGCCTCGGATGTCCGCACGAGCCGCCGCCACCGCCGCCGCCACGAGCGCGGCCCCCCGTGGGGGCTTTCGGGCCGTGCGCCCCCGGCACCCCCTCGGATGCGCGGGCGCCCGCCCCCACCCCCACCCCTCCCCCACGATGCACCCGGGGGCCCTTCCTGGCCCAAGGTGCCTCCAGGCGGGGTCCGGGGAGGGCGCTCCCACGGCCAGGCCTGCGACCTCCGAGCGCCTCGGCCGGCGGCCTCGTCGGGCGGGCCGCCCTGCCCGGAGCCTGCCGCGTCGGCCATCGGGCCACCGTCGGCGGCGGGCAACGGCAGGGCTGCGGCCACGCCCTCCTCGCGGCGCCGACCTGCGCCGCCGAGTCGGCGCCGTGGCCCCAGGGGGTAGGTCGGTTGGGGGGGGCACGAAACGCTCTTGGAACAAAAGAATGCTCCGAGAACAAAAGCGATGTTCTTGGAACAGAAAGCCGATGTGTTCAAACAAGGCGGTCTCAGCCAGAAGTGTTCTGAGAACATGTCGTGCAGGCCACGAGAGGTTCTTGGACCATCCTCGGGTGCGCCTGCAGGCAGGCCAGGACGCTTCGCCACTGCTTGACAGCTGATGGCAGGCTCTCTCTCTCTCTCTCTCTGCTGTTAGCCCTGCGCGGCGGCCGTGTCCGCCGCTCTGGCGCCCCCCGCTCGCGTGCGGCCGCGCCGCCGCCTCGCGGCGCCGCCCCGCGCTTTTTGCTCCCGCTGCCGCGGGCAGGGGCGCGGCCCGCCTGGCGAGTGCGCGGGGGCCCCGGCCTCGGGCGCCACCCCGCGGCGGGCCGAGGCGCCCCGGGAGACCGAGCGCCGCTGCTCGGAGCGGAATCGGAAGCGGAGGAGGAGGAGGAGGAGGAGGAGGAGGAGGAGGAGGCGGAGGAGGAGGAGGAGGAGGCGGAGGCGGACGAGAAGGAGGAGGCGGACGGAGGAGGAGGAGGCGGAGAGGTGCGGTGGGGGAGCCTGGGCGGGGTGCTTTGGCAGGTGCTTGCCCGAGGCCTCCCAGGAGCGGGGCGGCCCCCGGCAGCCGCGGAGCGACGGGCCCCACGACGCCTGCGCTCGAGGCCGCGCTGGGCTCACGACGGCCCCCCGCCCCGTCGGGCAGGGATCCCGAGCGGCCGAGGCACAGAGATCGGCGAGAGCAGAGGCCAGAAGCGCCTGGTCGCTCGTGGCGAGCTCGCATCGGCACGACGCGCTCGGGCTGCGTCGGGCCCTGCCTCGCTCCCTCCTCCCCCCTGCTTGCCCCCCCCCCCCCCCGCCCGCCCCCGACCGCCTGACGCAGAGGGCGGTGTCCAGATGATCCGCGACGCCCTTCACTCCCTCCTCTTCCTCCTCCTCTTCCTCCTCCTCCTCCTCCTCCTCCTCCTCCTCCTTCTCGTTTCCTCCTCTTTCTCCTCCTCCTTCTCATCCCTCCCAGACCCTCCCTCCGTCCCTCCCTCCGTCCCTCCCTCCCTCCCTCTGTTCTATTCCGAGGAGGTTGGATATTATCTTTCGCTAGCCTCTGCGACTCGGGTGGGCGCGTCCTGTCCACCCGGTCCCAAAGTCTCATTGCACTGCTTTCCGACCTCCTGGACGCCCGTGCTGAATGCTCTCTCCAATGCTGTTCTCTTCCGCCAGTGCTTGGCTTGCTCCTTGTTGACTCCAGAACTTGATTTCCCCCGGCCAATTGAGTGCTGCACTCCGCTGTCCAGCCAGAGGTCGAATCAGCCCCACAATCTACGATGACACCCCGGCGGCAGAAGGCAAGACACAGCTCTACACAGGTACCATGGGGACCACGCTGGGCGGACACGATGGAGGGCCCCGATGAGGGGTTCGGGACAGGGATGTGGATACAGGGCCAAGGATCTTGGGCTGGTGTTCGGGATGGGGGCGGGGATGGAGGCAGAGGGATAAAAGGGATAGGGATAGAGGCAGAGGGTTACCAAGGGAGAGGGACAGAGACACAGGGACGGGATACGGATACGGGTGGGGACTGCAATGGGAGGGCCACGTCGCCCGACCGATGCTGGATCTGGTAGTCCACGGGAGGCAGCGCGGAGGCCACGGGAGGCCACGTCGCAATGCCGATTCCGGTCACCTACGAGCTTCTCAGACGAATTGTCTAGAACCCATACAGACAAGCTACTCAGGGAACTGCCCTTTCCTCCCCCCCTCCGTCGGCTATACGCAAGAGTGAGCCTAGGCATAGGTAAGAGTGGCCTTTGGTGCACGGTTTGCGGGCCGTTGTGCGCGATGCGACAGCAGCCGCTCGCGCGCTTGGGCTTGGGCCCCCTGGCCCCTCCCGAGGGCCGCGCAACAGCGCTCACTCCAGCGAAGGGTCACTCTCGGTTGCAGCCAACTCCCCGCCGTCTAGAGAGCTGCCCACGGACCATCGCTTCGGGAGCGATCTGCTGACGCCCCGTCGTGCTGACTCCCCCTCCGGCCTGCAGGCCGCAGCTCCCGACCCGGACCACGGGGGAGGCAAGCCTCTGATGGCCACTCCCGGCCGCCTTCGCGGGCCCCCGCGTGCCAGGCTACGACGCTGCAGCGCAGGGAGGAAAAGGAGGAGGATGAGGACGAAGAGGAGGAGGCGGAGGAGGCGGAGGAGGAGGAGGAGGAGGCGGAGGAGGCGGAGGCGGAGGAGGAGGAGGCGGAGGAGGAGGAGGAGGAGGAGGAGGAGGAGGAGGAGGAGGAGGAGGAGGAGGAGGAGGAGCAGAGAAGGAGGAGGCGGAGACGGAGGCGGAGGAGGAGGAGGCGGCGGAGGAGGAGGAGGAGGAGGAGGAGGAGGAGGAGGAGGAGGAGGAGGAGGGGGGGCACGAGGTGCAGCCGACTCCCCACCGCCGAGGCGCGGGCCAGACTCGATCCCGTCGACCGGCGCGCGCTTGTAGTGTATGGTCTTGACCTCTGCGCCGTGGCCCCCCGCGCGCACCCGGGGGAGGCCGCCCGGCACCGCGCCTCCGACCGCGCGCAGAAACACCACGGCTTCCCGGCGTGGCTCCGATGTTCGAGGCCCGGAGATTGGCACCAGTACAGTCGGACCTGATTGGAGAGGGCACCACGAGGAGGACACACAAGACCCTTCCGAGGGCCACGTTGCCTCAGGAATGCAGAAGGCACGGGTCGCGAAACACACGACAAAAGGGTGTCCTCGATTCGGCAGGGTCGACCCACTAATCAGGGCCGACTGTACCAACACAGGTAGGTGGCGACATCCGAACCCTACCCCCACCAACCATCGATTATCCTGAATCGATAGGAGGCGGGGGTTGGCTTCGAATTTCACCACACGTTCGACCAATTCCGAACCCCACCCCTGCCGCCCATCGAGTTGTCTGAATCGTTGATCGGCGAGTGTAGGGTTCGGACTTCGCCGTCGAAGGGGTGCCGCGGTGTCTCCACCAGGGAAAGGGGATCCTAGATCTGGGTGCTGGTGATCACAGTTCGGCCACCTGAGAAGCCCGAGCATCACCACCACCACACGACGTGTACTCGAGAGGCCTCTGGTCCCCACCCAGGAGCGGTGACGGGACGGGCCGAGGGCCACTCGACAGAGGTGAAAGCTGCGCAGCTCCCGGGTTCCGGATGGGCCTGGCCAGGGAGCAGTGGACGTGCACAGCCCTCGTCGCCCGAAACCTCCGGGCACCCGACACCGCCCATGACCCCCAACGCCCCGGCCATTCCACAGCCTGGGCCCCTGGAGCTCTCCACACACTCCCTGGGCCTGGCCTGGGAGCCTGGCCCTCGGGGCCACGCCTCTCGGGCCTGCGATCTGGGCATCGGGAAGGCTCCAGGCACCCGCGCGCACGTTTCGGCCCTCGGCCCGCGTCTCGGCCCCGCAAGACGAGGCCAGGACGAGGACAACGTCAGGTGAGGAGAAATCGAGAATCTCTGAGATCTGGCAGCTCTGGAGGATGTCTCGGGCAGAGAGTTTCAAGCTCTGAGAGCGTTGCGGAGCGCTCTGGAACGGCTTTGTCCTCGCCCTGGCCCCGTCCGGTATACTGCCCCCCCGGCCGCCGTCCGCCCCGCCCGAGACCTTGAGATCCGACGCTGCCAAAATATGTTGCAGCATCGCGAACGTTGTACTGCACCCGCCCGACTTCGCCCCCCAAATTCGGCTTCGGCGCGCTTCGGCTCGGAGGCTCGGCCAGTGACGGCTCCTGCTGGAAACCGAGGCGGGCCGGAGCCGATACGGGCCGAGGCCGAGTCGGGCCGAGGCCGAGTCGGGCCGAGGCCGAAGCGGGCCGAGGCCGCAGCGGGCCGAGGCCGCACCGGGCCGAAGCCAAGACAGGCCGACGGCTAGCCGAAGCGGGCCGGCGCAGGCACGGGCCGGCGCCGGCAGCCGCCTCTGCCCCGGAGCCCGCTCGGCGCACATAGGCCCGCAGGAGGGCGGGCCCCGAGGCCCGAGGCCCTCCGAGCAGCAGCGGCGAGGGCGCCCGCGGGCCGCTCGAGCGATGCCCCCGCCGACGGCCCCGCCACGTCGCCCTCGCGCGCGGCTCCGACAAGACGCGGCTCCGACAAGACGCGGCTCCGACGCGACGAGGCTCCGTGTCGTCGATGCAGACCCCCCCCTGTGTATCGTCGATACGTCGTCGATACACCGCCCGTGCCTGTGCTTGGGCAGCGTGCCCGGCCCCCCCTGAGGCCCGGACGTGGCATTTCTTCCACAGGGGGCGTTTTCGCTCGGCTTCGGGCCCCAGGACCCCCACGGCCCGATGCGGCTCGGAAAACGATGCGGTCCGGGGCCCTGGCCGGGATCTTCCCCGACGTTGCCATTCGGCCACGCGCAGAGGGGGTAGGGCATAGGGGGAGGGGGGGGAAGGCTTCTGAGAAGCACCCCTGCTCCTGAGACGCCCTCCCCCCTCGTCGGATCTCCGGGCCCGACCGCTGCCCCCCGCGCTCCGACCCCGAGGCGCCCGCGGTCCGATCGCGGCCAGCGGCGCGCACGGCACGAGCGGCGCGCACGGGCTCGCCGGGCCTCCCGCCCAGAGGCGCGCCCGCGGCCCGAGCGCGGGGGGCCGCGGCCAGGCCACGGCCGGCGGCGCGCAGGGCAAGGGTCGGCGGCGAGCCGACGGGGGGGGGGGGAACGAGGAGGGGCGGGCCTCCTCCTCAGAAGGCTCGGAAGTCCCCCCGGCGTTTTCCGAGAAGCCTCCTGGGCCTTCCCCGAGGGCTCCGGAAGCTCCACAGGAGGCGCGAGGGCCTGTGAGAAGCCCCGCCGCCTTCTGCGAGAGCCTTCTCCCGCTCACTTCCCCCCCCCCTCGCTCGCCGCCGGAAGGGGCTGCACGAGGGGGGGCAGGCCCCCCGAGAGGCCCGGGGGGGGGCTTCTGTACGACGGCAGCTGGGCCTCTGAGGCCCCTCCCGGCCTCCGAGGGGGCCGTTTGGGAGCCTCGGGCCCCCACCTTCTGAGGAGCCCCCCGCCTGCTCAGAACCCGCGGATCGGGGCGCTGCAATTTTTCCAAAGCAAGCGTTTTGCACAGTTGCGGTGGGTCAGCTCTGTTTTTCCACATGTGCATTGCAGTAGCGTTATCTCTCTCCTCTCCTCTCTCTCCCTCCCTTCCCTCCCTTCCCCCTTCTCGCAGCGCTTGCGTTTGGCAAGCATGCAAACCTTCGTGCGGATATTATGCGTGCGCCGGATTGTTTTTCTTCTGGGATCAGTGGGCCAATCGTGCTCATGTCGATTCTCTGCCGATGCTCCCTTGCGTGGCGCCTGGCTTGAATGACTGGAGCGTTTTCCCAGATTTCGAGTCCAGGGACCCTCATTGATCGATCCAACTCCAAAAATGGCGCAGACAGATGGGGTCCTGGGCTCTGGTGGTGATTTGTTGCGATGTTGCCTTTTGTTCTGCACTGTCAGATCTGAGGGAAGGCCACCCCCGTCGCGTCACCCCCATGTACGCGCTGCCAACGCGGGCCGATCGCGGCCGCGCGACCCCCAGGCCATTCAGCGCCCCGAAGCAAGCACAGAGGCATTGATTTTTCACCGCCTTCGGCCCGCGGAGGTCCTCGCCAGGCACCTGGCGAAAGGGTCGGGACTGCTGAGCATACAGTCGGGGCTGCTTGCAGAAGACACCCGAGAGGGCGCAAGTCTCTCCAGAGGGCAAACCGTGGTCTTGACATGGAACGGACAGGAGGCCTGATCGGCAGGACACGCGGACACTCTTGATGTTGCAAGGCTGACCTGTCTGGAAGCTGGCAGCACACATGGTGGACTCACGCGTGGATGCATATGCGGAAGCCCAGCCCACATGGCCATAGAAGGGCTGAGCGCTGGAACAGCATGCGTGCGACGAGAGGAATGGGTTCTTACGCGGCATGGCATAGCGACCTCACGCCGCGGATTACGCGGGCTGCCAGCGCGGCACGCTGCATTGGAGACGAGGGCGCTTACGCGCGAGCTTACGCGGGCAGCTTACGCGCCAATGTCGGCGCAGAACGACACCGTTTTTTCAGTCGCTCGCGTGGGCCACATGTGTATACCAACTCTCGCCCAGGCTGGCGGCCACGTCACAAATATCCAACATACTGGTACGAATCAAGCCCGACTGTACTGAACAAGAAGCATCGGATGCCTGGGGCCACCCGGCCACAAGTGCGCTCTCCGATCGCGCGGCCGACGGGTGCTGGGGCCCTGGCAAGGACTGGCTTGAACTGGCCAGCCCCGTCTGGCCCCATCAGCAGCTGCCCGACGCCCAGGGGGGGGAGGGAGAGGAGGTGGAGGAGGTGGAGGAGGAGGAGGAGGAGGAGGAGGAGGAGGAGGAGGAGGAGAAGGAGGAGGAGGGGGGGGACAAGCTAGGTGCGCTCGCGTCATATCTGACATCCTACCCCTCCCTCCCAGCCCTTACCATGGCGTAGACCCCCTCTCTACTCGCACAGTCGGATGTCGAGCAGGGCAATGATCCCGAAAGGGTACGCGATGCATTGTAGAGCACGGCATGGCATGGCGTAGAAGAGCACCGCAAAGCGTAGTATCAACCTAGCATTGCATTGCATGCCGTGGCATGGCACGGGAAATGACGCCAGCGCTGCAGCGGGAGCACGAGTCGAAACGAGCGGAAGCGCGGAAATGAGGCCAGCGCTGCAGCGGGAGCACGATTCGGAACGAGCGGAAGCACGGAAATGAGGCCAGCGCTGCAGCGGGAGCACGATTCGGAACGAGCGGGGCCCGAAAGTGAGGCCGGCGCCTCAGCGAGAGCAGCATTTTGGAAACAAATGCAGGCGAAAACCCAACTCCGGGAAATCCTGCGTAAAAAACAGTACGCGGGGGGGGGGCTAACACTTTCAAGCCGTCATCAGGGGAAGAGGGAGAGTAGTATTCATATTGAGTAGAGTGGGAGGGAGGAGGAGGAGGGGAGGAGGAGGAGGAGGAGAGGAGACGGAGGAGGGGAGGAGGGAAGGAGGAGGAGGAGGAGGAGGCGGAGGAGGAGAGGAGGACGAGGGGAAGGAGGAGGAGGAGAAGGAGGAGGAGGAGGAAGAGGAGGAGGAGGAAGAGGAGGAGGAGGAGGAGGAGGAGGCAGCAGCTGCGGGAGGGGAGGAGGCGGCAGCTGAGGAACACTGACATTCTCGCGTCGTGAAAAAAACAACGCCGCAAGATGTTTGGCCGTCTTCGTTCTCTAGGAGCCCTTGCTGGGCCCCGAGACTGTCAACAGAAATGGTTCAGGACAAAACGCGGGTCCCGAGACGATTCAGGACGAAAATCTGGTCCCCAGAAAGGGGTCCAGACCGATGGGGAGCCACATTGTGACACAAGTCAAGACGACGGATGTCTGGGAAGGGGAGGAGCTTTTTAGACTGTCGACTCGCGGGGCGCAACTAGGAGAAGGCACAGACGATTCAACCAGCCACTGCCTTGGGAGCAAACCGAGGCGTTCCCGTTGCAGATTCGGCTCCGCAGGACCCTTCCCCGAGGGAGGAGAGGAGGGGACGGGGGGCAACTACTGGAGGACGGAGGGCGGGAGGAGGGGCCCTGACTCGAGGAACCACACACTTGGCGTCAGGAGGCTGCAGTCCACGGCATTCCGTTGGCCCCTCGATCGGGCGCCGACTCAACTTCCAGGCTCGCCGAATTAGCGGGCGTTGGTCGTGGCCACGCCGGCGTCTTCGCCGGCCTGCCCTCGCCAGGGCTTCTCCGCCCCCGGGTGGCCCCCTGCCCCGCTCCCCCGAAGTCAGGGAAGCCTCCCAGGCGCCAACCTGCAGGTTTGGGCCGTCTTGCATCCGCAGGGGCCGATGGCAGGACCAGCCAGGAGGTGCCAGTCGGCGTTCTCCACCGACATTGGGTGCCCTCTGCTGCAAGGACCTCGGAGCGAGGAGAGTAGGAGGACCACGTGCGCCAACCCACATGCGAGGAACCGCCGTTGTGACATCGCGGCCAAATTATCGTGGCCGGCACAATTCCTGAGGATGCGCTGCTTGGACCAGCGCTGGCTGCACTGCCCATCCATGAGTTGCCTGCCTTGATCTGCACGTCGTTCATTTCTCATCGTGCTCATTTCTAATTGTGCTCGTTTCTCATTGTTCCTGGCCCCCTACTGGCCAGGAAGTGGCCCAGGATAGAACGATTAGAAACGAAACGAACTGGGCCCCCCCAAAAAACAAAGAACTTTCGAAAACTTAGGAATGAACAATGTGTACTCTGAGCTGAGCTGCACCTTCATCGGCCCACCACCGAGGAGCAGCCCGATCGGCCGACCACGCCCCACCAACGAACCTCACTCGCTGCTGCTGCGCCGGGCTGGTCCTCAGCGAAGGAGTCGGAGGAGGAACGAAGGAGGATATGTTTATTGACTATCCAGGTTGTCAGGGATGGGGGGAGGAGGAGGAGCAGAAGTCGGTGAAACAAAACAGGGAGGGGTGCCCATCTGAGTGGGAATTTGTTACCCAGGGACGCAGGAGGAGGATGCCAAGCGAGCGAAGGACGCGAGGCGGCGCTGGGAACTCTGGGGCACTGTACCCCACAGGCATCTCCCGAACCCGGCGCTGCGACGGACGCTGGTGCGACTGCCGTGGCCTGCGCTGGGAACGGAGGCGACGTGTGCCCGAGTGCACGCGAAGGTACAGGCTGGGGGGGGGACTCCTAGACAAGAATGCGAATCGAGACAAGAGTGCGAATCGAGACAAGAATGCGAATCGAGACAAGAATGCGAATCGAATGAGAATGCGGGATTTCACTGGCGCCTCCTAGACAAGAACGCGAATCGAGACCCACCAGGTCTTTGGGCTGAGGTGGTCTGGCAATATCGTCCTATCCTCTTCCAAAATCCTCTTCTTCGGGGATGGGTGCCCTCCCCCCTCCTCCCTGATGCTTGTTTTTTGGGTTTCGCGGTGTGTTAGGGGATCCTTTTTCGCCCAAGATGGCTCCAAGAGGGCCTCCGATGCTCCAAGCGAGCCTCCAAAGCGGCTCAAGACAACGTTCGAGATAGCGCCCGACATACCTCAAAGAGGCCCGACGAGGGCCACAAGACGGTTCCCAGTGCTCTCAGAGCCCTCAGCCCCCCCGAAGAAACCAACATCTTTCAAACACCAGGACGGAAAACCACTGATGGTTGCCTTCTCGCCGTTTCGCTTCCGATGCGCTTGTGCGGTCTCACGATTGGCTCAAAATGGCCCCAAGAGGGGCCTAGAGGCTCCCCGGACGGCCTCAAGAGCGCCCAAGAGCGGCCAAAGAGCGCCCCAAGAAGGTCCCAAGAGGCGATCTTGCTGGCCAAAGGGGTTGGGACGCAAATCGAAACCACCCCCTTCTGATTGATGGCATCCAAGATGGCCCCGAGGGGACCCCCAAGAGGGCTCCAAGAGGGCCCCAGGACGAGCCCAAGAGCGCCCGAGAGCGTCCCAAAAGCGTCCCACGCGGGCCCCAAGAGGCGGTTTGTCTCCTCCTCCTCCTCCTCCTCCTCCTCCTCCTTCTCCTCCTCCTCCTTCTCCTCTTCCTCTTCCTCCTCTTCCTCCTCTTCCTCCTCCTCCTCCTCCTCCTCCTCCTCTTCCTCCTCCTCCTCCTTCTCCTCCTCCTCCTCCTCCTCCTCCTCCTCCTCCTCCTCCTCCCCGTCCTTGTCCCCATTCTCCATGGATATGCCGAACTTTGTTTCACTACATATGTGTCTCTTCGTCCCTCTTCCCGTCAGCTCTCATGGGCAAAGGTTTTGAACGGGCTGGTGGGGATACTCGAAGCGTGAAGAGTTACAAACTTTTTACGTCGCAGAGCGGCAGAGGCAATCCGCACGTGCGCCTGCGCGAGACCGGGGCACGACATCGCGAATTGGCCCGCATGCAAGAGGAGGGGGGGGGGGAAAGAGGATGGCGGCCGCAGGGGGGGGGAGCGCGGGGCCCACTCACGCAGCGGGGCTGCGGTGGGGCTGGGGGCGCGGCTTGGCTGAGGTCCAAGCTGAGCAGCGGCTGCAGGGCGGCGTCGCAGCGCACCCAGGGCGGGAGGCCAGCAGCCACAGTGCGGGCGCGACCCAGCAAGCGGGGGGCTGGGAGGCGGCAGCGTCTGGAAACCGGGTAGCCGGCGGGGGGAGGTGGGGGCAGCGGCGTGGAGCCAGCGGCGCGGCGAGCTGGCGCTGCAGCAGCTGCAAGAGGCCCATGGCGGTGGAGGGTGCGGCGGCACCGCGGGGCAGGCGGCCAGCGTACTCTTGACGCGGGGCGAAGCGGGAGTAGGATCAGGGGCTGAGGAGCGCCACTCACTAGCCAGTGCATGGTAGCACGGCGGGAGCTACGCGACGCCCAGTGCAAATGACGCACGGGCGGGGCCCTCGGAGCGAGGGAGAAGCGCCCAGCCAGCCGTCCATGGGGGCGGCGTGGGCAGGGCGGGGGCGAACCGCAGTGGCGGTGGCCCCCCAGGCGTGGCAGCGAGACCGCGACTGGGGCAACTCCACCGGTAGCGCACGGGCTGCAGCGCCGGCGCGCCCTTGGGGCGCGGTGCGCGGGAGGGGGCGGGCAGCCCCCAGCCGGTGCACGGCGGACGGCGGTGAGGTCGAGCCGCATGGCGGGGCCGACCCATGAGTGGGGGGAGGCAGCGCCGGCGGTGGCCAGAGCGACGAAGCCGGAGGTGAGCCGCAACGGCGGCGACCCCCAAGTGGGCAGCAGGCACTGCGGGCAGGGGTGGAGCCCGGGCCAGCCGCGCGGGCTGCAGGAGCAGCACCCGCGGGGGTGGCCCAGAGGCCGATGCGCTTGGCGAGGGGCGGTGGGCCAGAGGCTGGCTGGAGCGGGGGAGGCGGGGGGAGCCGCCGGGGCTCGACCGCACACCGCCTGGGTTGGACGATGCGCGGGAGCGAAGGCGGCGAGCGCGCTGTCAGGCGCGGTGGGAGCATCTAGCTGGTGCGCATGCTGATTTGATCCAAGTCTGCCCCCCACAGCCGAGAAGCCTTACACCGCCTGCACGGGCGTTGGAGGAGCCGATCGAGGAGGAGGAGGAGGAGGAGGAGGAGGAGGAGGAGGAGGAGGAAGAGGAGGAGGAGGAGAGGCATGCGCATGACCATATGACTAAGTCAATCCAACCACATGTACATCTTGCGCCTGGAGGCCTTTTCGGCCCTGCTCAGGGAGGAGGAGGACAGGAGGACGAGGTCGAGGGGGCGGGGGGGAGGAGCAGGGAGAAGGGGAAGGGAAAGGACGAGAGAAGGAGGATGGGGAGGAGAGAACACCCGCAGCAAGGAGAGGCCGGGGGAAGGTCGGGCCAGACGCCTTTGAGCTCCGGCCGAGGAAGGCCAGAGGAGAGACGGGCAGCACGCCCACCAAAGAAGGCGTTCTGGAACTCCTGCGGTGGGTCCACACCGCTCGGGGGCCGACGACACGCTGCACCGCCAGGGGGAGGGCAGAAGCTCCGCGGGAGAAGGGGGAAGGCGGAGGAGCAGCGAGGTGCTCGACGGTCCCCGCAATGCACGTTGCTCCCCCAGCGCATCCTTTCGAGCGGGGGGGGGGCGGGGAAGGGCGCGGACGGCCGACGACCAACGTCACACGTGTCTCGTCTGGGCATGTGGTTGGGAACTTTTGCTGAGCTTGTCGCCGTGGCGGCCCCGGCGGCACGCTATGCCCTGCAGGCGGATAGCGTGTCGCTCCGCTCCGCGGGACGGGGGGCTCCGGAAAGCTCGGGACACTGACGTTTCAGAACGGGGAGATAGATGGCGTGTCGTGCCGAAGCGTGGTGGGCCAGAGCCGGCGGAGCGACTCGTTATCCAAACGTTTCTGATCGTACACACGTGTGTCGTCTGGGTGGCCCACGCAAGACAAGTGTCTTGGCGGGGCCTTTGGGGAGGAGCCACCATCTCGATCCTCGGCCTCCCCTGGCGCCTGCTGGTTCTGGTGGACGCGGCCAGATCTCAGAATGCCGCCGACCACCACGCCGACGCCCTGGCCGTCCCCCCCCACCCCGCGCCGCTGCTCAGCGCCCTGTGGCGGAGCAGAGCGCCTCACCGCCCGCCCGTCCTCCGAACCTCCATCACACATCTTCCGTTCTCAACCTCCCGCCCACCTTTTCCTCCTCACCCTCCTCCCTCCTCCGCCTCTTCCTTCTCCTCCTCCGTCCTGCTCCTCATCTCTCCTTCTCTTCCCCCCTCACCCTCCACAACCATCCTCCCCCTCCTCCTTGATCCTCCTCTTCCTCCTCTTCCTCCTCCTCCTTCTCGTCGTCCTCCTCCTCTTCCTTTTCCTCCTATTCCTCTTCCTCCTCTTCATAACTTCTCTTCCTCCTCCTCCTCCTCCTCCTCCTCTTCCTCCTCTTCCTCTTCCTCCTCCTCCTCGTCTCCTCCTCCTCCTCCTCCTCCTCATCATCATCATCATCATCACCATCACCGTCACCACCACCATCACCATCATCATCATCATAATCATCATTGTCATCAGCATCAGCATCATCATCATCACCACCATCATCATCATCATCATCAGCAGCAGCATCATCCTCCTCCTCATCATCCTCATCATCATCATCATCAGCATCATCGTATTCCTTATCATCATCAACATCATCATCATCATCATCCTCGCCATCCTCATCATAATCATCATCATCATCAGCCTCATCATCATCATCATCATCATCATCATCATCATCATCATCATCATCATCATCATCATCATCATCACCATCACCATCATCATCAGCATCGGCATCGGCATCGGCATCAGCAGCATCCTTATTCTCATTGTCATCATCATCATCATAACCAGCATACTCATCGTCGTCATCATCATCACTGCCACCAGCATCCTAACTTACCAACATCTGCATCACCACCACCATCGCCATCACCGTCATCAGCATCACCATCACCATCACCATCCTCAACGTCAGCGTCATCATCATCATCATCACCACCATCAGCATCATCACCATCGTCGTCATCATCACCGCCACCACCATCATCATCATCATCATCACCACCATCATCACCATCATCACCAGTATCACCATCACCATCACCACCATCATCATCACCACCTTCAACATTGTCAACATCGTCATCATCATCACCATCATCATCATCAGCATCATCATCCTTATCAGCAGCAGCAATATCATCATCCCTCACCTTGATTATGCTCTCCTATCCTCCATCCTTCATCCTCCATCCTCCTCTTCCTCCTACCCCTCCTTCTCCTTCTCCTCCTCCTCTCCCTCTTCCCTTCTGCTCCTGCTCCTGCTCCTGCTCCTCCTCCGTCTCCTCCGCCCAAGCGCGCAGGAGCGCGCGCGCGCGGAAGGCGAGGGATGAGGAGGAACGAGGAAAGCGGAAGAGCACGACAACGGACGACGACGACGACAACGTCGACGACGACGACGACGACGACGACGATTACGACGACGACGACGACGACGGCGACGACGGCGGGGCGGCAATGGCGGCGACGACCGACCACCGCCGACCGACAAATGGACCTCCGCCGACCGACGAGTCTCTCCGTCATCCGTTCTTCACCAACCTGGCATCTGTAAGTTTACAATTTCTGAGCTCAAATCCAAGGCCCAGCAGGTCCTCAAGAGCCCTCCCCAACATCGACACCAAATCACAAGGCCCCTCCGAGCCAAAATTTTCAGTCTTAGACGGCTGGGATGGACTATACCCGACCCGTTCCTGTTTCAGGATTCGAACGGCCAGACTCTCCCCCTCTTCACCACGTCCCCTGCCATCATCAAGATGTTCCAAAAGCAATGATAGCAGCAGCTGCACAGACAGGTGGCCTACAAGCTAAGTCTGGAGGACCAGCTGGACACCTCCGAGCTGCAGCGGACGCTGCAGAACGAGGCCATCCCAGTGCACATGAAGGCATTACTCTCATACGCCTGCTTGTGCAAATGAAGAAAGGAAAAAATGGCCGCCGCGGGTTATGAGGGAGACACGCTTTGCACGGTCTGTGGTGGCCTTGAGGACTCCCCCCCGCACAGGCTCATCGAGTGCCCCAGGACCAAGACCTTCAGAAGCGAAAAGCACCCGAGAACCTTGGAACCCTGAAAGACATGAACTCACTGCCGCTCGTGCTGCGATTCCAAACAGCCTCTGAAGCTACCGCCCTGGGGCCGACGGGGTAAGAACTATATGCGGCAAATTACTGGTCCAGAGAGGGCCGGCACCAAGAATCAGCAGTGCAGGGCGAAGTGTTTCACGACGGCAGTGTTTTGACAACCTGGGTATCGGGTGTACGATGCACCTGTTTGGTCCGAGGTCAACATCGACGATGAGGGTTACCTTCAGTCGAGTTCGATTGGAGAGGGCACGCTGAAGACGCAAGACCCTTCCGAGGGCCACATTGACACAGGAGTGTAGAAGGCATGGGTCGTGGAACACAGGACGCAAGGGTACGATCGGACCTAGGACATGATAGCACCCCTCAAGAACATGAGACCCCCCACTGGCCCGAACACACACAGAACATTCGAGGGCACCCTCCCCCAGGATGCACAAGAAGATCCAACAGACACGAAGAACACTAGGACACCCTCCCCGAACCGACCTTCATCATCTTATACCTCGGCACATAAGCCGTAGGAGTGTAGAAGGCATGAGTCGCGAACCACAGGACACAAAAGGTACCCTTGATCTGGCAGGGTCGACCTGCCAATCAAAGTCACCTGTAGTTGCCTGCATCTCGGGCTACGCGTGGGCCGCCCTGCCCCTCGACATCGCCTGCCGCCGAGCATTCGGGACTTTTGGCAGCAGCCTCCTGCCCTGCAGCCATCGTGCTACCAAAAGGAACGCAAAACCAGGAACGAAGGGGCTTTTCTGGTTACGGCGAGCCTCGGCCAAGAACGGCCCGAACACCAGAGCACCTCTTGACCCCGAAGTGGTCCTTATTACAGCGTCTTGGCTGTAGGGTCACCAGGCCCTGGACGGATTTCGGGGGCCTCCTGTCCGCCAACGCCTCACGGTCAGCAGGAATGAACTGTATGCTGGAGTTTCCGCCTTCGCGAGGGCCCAAGACAGCTTCAAGCATCTGGAGGTGGCCAAAGTCAAGGCCCACGAGGACCTCATCGCTCTCGAGGCGGGATCCAGAGGATGGCCAGTCGCCAAAAACAGCGATTGGGCGGACAGGATGACCAAGGCTGCGGCGGCCCTGATCCCGGCGCCGTCACATCTTGAGCTCGAGCTTCGCAGTGCTGCTTCGACGTGCCTCGAGGGATTCTCGAGGTACGCTGCAGAGGCCCTGTCTTTGTGGGCCCCGCTGGCCCGCTGGCCCCACAGAACGGGAAGAAGGCCGAAGAGAAACCCACCCAGCGCCTCAAACCACCTGTAGGGGGCCGCGGGGGCCACCAGCACGTGGGTGGAGCCCCCGCCTCAACCCGGGGCCCGAGGAGGGCCAGAGGAGGCAGAACGCCTCTAGTCAAGCGCCAGTGGGCTTGGCTGAAAGACCACTGGATATGCCTGGCGTGCCACACGCGCGCCGTGACTGGCAGCAGGAGGGCGCGCACCAAAGAAGCGTGCCCAAATTCGCTGGCCCAACGGGCCGGAGGCGTGCTAAGATCTCTGGTAATTGCTTTGCAGTATTTCTTCTTCGCGCGCGGGGGGCGGCCCCTGGGGGTCCCCGGAGGAAAAGTAACCCCGGCAGAGTCGGGTCGGAGATGGTTTTCCGTCTGGCCAGGAGCGGCCCCAGAGGAGGAGCACGAAACAACATTTCGAGTCCTCGGTCCTGAGAGGCCTCCAGGAAGCCCCAAGAGGCCCCTAAGAGGCCGCAAGAGGCCCCCAAGAGCCCTCAGGAGGCCCCCAAGACGCCCTCAAGAGGCCCCCAAGAGGCTCTAAGAGGCCCCCAAGAGGCCTCTTGGAGGCCCTAAGAGGCCCCCAAGAGGCCCACACGGGCCAGCGGAATGAGCGAAGCGATTCAATAATCATGTTGCCCTGTCGTCTCTCGTCCGTACCCCACAGCAGACAGAGCTCCAATGAGTATACGAATCGAGTACCTCGGGTTCCTCAGGTCTCCCGGGTTCCTCGGGTTCCCCGCCCCTGGTGGCTGCTATTGTTACGTTCCCCGTTTCCCAGAGGTTCCTCGGGTTCCTCGGGTTCCCCGCCCCCAGGGCCTCCTATTGTTACGTTGCCCGTTCCTCGGAGATTCCTCGGGTTCTCCGGGTTCCTTGCATTCTCCGGGTTCCTCGGGTTCACCGCCCCTGGTTGCCCCAAGCAATGCTAAGCAATGCTAAGCAATGCCAAGCAATGCCAAGCAATGACAAGCGACGCGCCCATGCAATAGACTTTCCCCTTCTTGGGGTCGCGCCAGGCTCATTCTTAAGACTTCTGCTGGGTGTACGGGTGGAAGAGGAGGAGGAGAAGGAGGAGGAGAAGGAGGAGGAGGAGGAGGAGGAAGAGGAGGAGGAACCGCCCCCTTCCCCTAAGGCCCTCCGTCACGTTGTACACTGCGTCGACGTGGAACTCGGCCGGCTCCGAGGGCGGCCGGAAGAGTCCGCTGTGCTGCAGCCGCGAGGGCATCCTCCAGCAGTGCGGCTGAGCGGCTGGAGGTCACTCCTCTCGATCCTCCTCGATCCTCCCCCCTCCTCCTCACCTCCCCGATCTCTCCTCCTCCTCCTCCTCCTCGTCCTCCTCCGCCTGCTCCTCCTCCTCCTCCTCCATCCCTCCCATTCTCCTCGATCCCTCCTCTTCGATCATTCCTCGGCCCCTCCTCCTCCATCCTCCCTTCTTATCCTCGCCCTCTTTCCTCTGCCTCCTCCTCCTCCGCCTCCTCCTCCTCCTCCGCCTCCTCATCCTCCTCCTCCTCCTCCTCCTCCTCCTGCTACTACGCCCGGGGGGTGCAGGCTACCGGGCCGCAGAAGCAGAAGCACCCCACAATTTAGGGCGTCGCCACGCGATGCTATGTCATGCTACGCGTGAATCTTCAACACCATGCTATACCATGTAATGCTATGCCAT